CGTCGTTATTAATTTGGGTATTTCAGCTGACAATACCAAGGCGTGGTATATGAAGAAATTTGGTAAAGAAAAGGTTGAGCAGAGGTGGAGAATGATACCCTATTTGTATTAGATTCTGACTACGAAACCCGAATATATACTTCCATAGAGTATATCCTCCACGAGCGTAGAGCTTTTGGTCACCTACTAGTTTTTACGAATAGAAACTAGACAAGTCATTTATTCAGAACAGAAAGCTACGTTAAACTCAAATTTTTTTAAACTTAAAAGGATGTCCTTGCTGGTTATTATTTGCTACCAAAAAAATTCATGCTATTGCCCAACTTCGAGACTTTAAGCACGTCTCGATACGTTAGGCTTATTCTAGTCTCCCTTGCATAACTGCCAGCGGCAAACGCTTCTTTATCCCCCAGCAATTCCCAGTTACAAATAGTTTCTGAATTCAAATCCGCATCTATCATCCGCTCTTCAATGCCATGCAAGTAATCCGTGTACAATTTCCCTGTCGTCACCAACAAACTTCGTCTTTCTTGCAATATTCTAAGCTGCGATGCTGTTGTTTGCTCAGACACTTCAAGCCCCTTGTGCTCGCGTTTGGCTGTTTTCTCACTCATCTCCAACACTATCGGCGCTCCCAAGCTCACAGTTGCCACTACTGGATAGTAGGCAGCTCCGTCTTCGTGAGGCATGATGCCTTGGCCAGGCTGGTACTCGTTAATGAGAACATGATTAGCGGCCTTGTGGGGTGAATCTCTAAATATTCCAAGCTCCGTAAAACGGGAAATAATAGGCGAAATCAGCCATTGTGGGAGGGCAGAGGCTAGGAGTGTGTTGGACCTGCTCAATGCGCATGGCCATGTTTGAAGACGTCGCCGGGAAAGATGTGTCCAGCGCGGAATGGGAACAGATATGATCTTCACAGTTGTTAGTCCTGTTACTGCCAGTGTATATTTTATTGTCACAATAGATATGAAATAACGGTGCCGATACATAATACAGATACTTTAAGACCCTAAGGAATGTCGCCAGTAGAGGCCCTCACTAAAGAGCTTTATTTACGCATTTAAGCAAACATTTTCTTTCGCTTGTCGGCTGGAAGCTAAGAGAACATCACTAGGAGGCTTGAAAACAGACTAGATATGAAAGAAAGTTTGTTTACCTTTTGAAGCAACCGCTCTTCTTCATCCTGTGTTATAAAGTCAGGAATATAATACGCACTTTCGGGAATCGACTCGATCCGGGCTTCTTCCAGCGGAATGGACAACATGGCTTTCTCAGTTACATCACCACATATTCTCCGTTCCTTGATCATTAGCCAGCAATCAACTGAGCGATGTTTAGTCACCTGCAGGCACTGCTTGCAAACACTTCTTTTCTAAGTGTAAAGAACTAAAGTAAGGGGACAAGAGGTAAAGTGGTTATTGGGGTACTGAAAGAAAACTATGATTTTATCGGTTGGGCGCAGGATGGTTGTAAATTCTAGTCTCTAAACCAACTTTTCTGAGTAAAATGCCCTGTAACATGACCTCACATGATATCATGTGCACCCCATCAAATCTATGAACAGGCTCTGCAGCCTGTATAACTCTGATATTAATCTTCATTCTTTTCTTTACAGATGTTCTCTACTATATTTACATTCTTTATACTCTTCTTTACATTCATTACAACCTATACATTCATTAATATACTCTATTTATTATAGAAAAACTAACTTTTCCATGCAAAACACACTGTAATGTGACATCATGTGCATTCTATCAAAAATATTTGAATGCTCTGACTCATACAGCTCAGATCAATTTTCAAATCCTCATTCTTTTTTTCATTCTGCTTCTTTCATACATTCTCTACAGTATTTACATTCCATATACTCTTCTCTATGTTCATTTTGCCAAATGCTCTGTAATATCATCTCATGTGATGTCATGTGCACTTCTTTGAATTCAGATGAGATTGAACAGCTGGCTCTGCAGCCTGTACAGCTCTGATTAATCTGATAATGATGATGGAGGTGATACAGGGTGGAAGAGAGTGATAAGGGTGATAGAGGTGGTCGGGGTGGTAAGAGGGGGGTAGAGGGGTAGAGGTAGAGAGTGGAAGTGGTAGAGGGGGCTGCGGGGCGGTAGAGGCGGTGGTGGTGGTAGAGGGGGAGGGGGTAGAAGAGG